TAAGTACTTCTTTCATTCAACATAATATCTGTGAGATTTATATATGTTATATATGTAGTTGTAGTTCATTCGTTCTCACTGCTGTATGGTATTCCACTATGTTGTTATACCACAATGTGTTTTATCCATTCCACTCTTTTCTTTTTTTAAAAAAAAATTATTTATTTATTTGGCTGCGCTGGGTCTTAGTTGCGGCATGCGGGATCTTCGTCGTGATGTGCGGGATCTTCTAGTTGCAGCATGCGCGATATAGTTCCCTGACCAGGGATCAAACCCGGGCCCCCTGCGTTGGGAGCATGGAGTCTTAACCACTCGACCATGAGGGAAGTCCCCTTATCCATTCTACTCTTGATGGACATTTGAGAGTTTCTAGATTAAAGCTATTATAGATACCATTGCTATGAATATTCTTTTTTCTTTTATATAAATTTATTTGTTTGGTTGGTTTTGGCTGTGTTGGGTCTTTGTTTTTGTGTGCGGGCTTTCTCTATTTGCGGCAAGTGGGGGCTACTCTTTGTTGCGGCGTGCAGGTTTCTCGTTGTGGTGGCTTCTCTTTGTTGTGGAGCACGGGCTCCAGGTGCGTGGGCTTCAGTAGTTGTGGTGCGTGGGCTCAGTAGTTGTGGCTCGCTGGCTCTAGTGAGCAGGCTCAGTAGTTGCAGTGCACGGGCTTAATTGCTCTGCGGCATGTGGGATCTTCCCGGACCAAGGCTCAAACCCGTGTCCCCTGCATTGGCAGGCGGATTCTTAACCACTGTGCCACCAGGGAAGTCCCGCTATGCATATTCTTGAATATATCTTTGGTAAAGTTAAGTACACATTTCTCTTGGGCATATGCCTACAAGTGGAATTGATGTATGCTGGGCTTCAGTAGACATTACCAAAGAGTATGCAGTTCCACAGTGTTTGACTGTACCATGCCACCATCAGTGAGTGAGTGCTCTGGTTGTTCCACATGCTTGCCAACAATTGGTATTGTCAGCTTTCTTCATTTTATTCATTCTGCTGTAGAATGGTGTCTTGCAGTTTTAATCTGCATTTCCCTGATGATTAATGAAATGGAACATTTTTTCGTATGTTTATCAACCATTTCAGCAACCTCTCTTGTGAAGGAGCTGTTTAAGTCCTGTGCCCATTTTTCTCTTGGCTATCTGTCTTTTACTTACTGTTATTGTTCTTTGTATATTCTGGATATGAGTCCTTTGTGAATATTTTCTCTCACTCTGTTCCTTGCTTCTAAAAGCTTTTACATTTGGGGGATGTATAGTGTAAAGTAAGAAACTAAAATGTCTTTTGCCTTTTAGTTATCCCACTATTATTGATGATCCTTCTACTCCTCTGTATTTCTTTATGCTTGTTTTATTATGTTTACCATGCATCAAAGTTCAATATCTTTCTTGATCTTAATTCCAAATTTCCAGGAGAGAGACTCTGATTGGCCCAGCTGTGGCCAAAAGGTAAGTTTTCAAGGAACAAATGGGAGTGTTGGAGCCCCACCCCAATGTGCACGAGGAAGGAGGGCGATTAAAGGAATTGTCCGGAGCAAGGGAGAAAATAAGGTGGTGATCAGTTCTTCCTGGAAAACAGCGGTATGTTGGTGAGCAGAATTACGTCCCACTTGCCTGGAGGAATAATGTCACTTCCTGCTCCTGCTGGATTGTCAGATATCTGCTGGAGTTTATGAGTAAAGAGTTGATGTTGCCCCACGGGGACTCTAGTCCTTCAGCATCCATTCCTTCATCCAATATTTGCTGAGCATCTGCTATGTACTAGACACTCTGCTTAGTCCTTAGAGAGAGCTCTGAAGTGCTGCTGACAAGTAAACTGATCCGTGTTACCAAAACGCTATGCAACCATTAAAAATGGGGAGATAAACATACACAAATGTGACCCTGACTTTCTTCAGCAGCTTGGTGTCTGGTCAGTTATATTCTCATCTACATCAAAGATATTCTAATGTACTGGATTGTGCTAACTCAGTTTGGTTAAGCTGGGAAGTACGCTTCCAGAATCTCCTTCCTGACAGGACTCTGAGTTCGAGTTGATCAAAAGAGGACCTGGTGGAGATTTGGAAAGTAGAATGGGAGCCTCAGCCGCTCTGAGGAGATCTCTGTTGTCAGACACTGTGACAGACAGATGTGCCCACAGATAGATCCCAGCAAGTTCTCAAGGCCTAGTGACTCCTCTCTGATCATCCCACAGTTCCCTTCAGACCTTCACTTCCCCAGCTTGTCCCACTTTGGGGCAGTCTCATTCCTGTAATAACCCCCTTATCCCCATAATATGCATGGTGGCTCTGCTCACCTGAATGAACTCTGACTGATAGACCTAATCATAAAAGGAGGCATATAGGGAATGGTTAAGAGTGTGGGCTCTGGATTCAGACAGCTAGAGGTGAGGATTAAGAAAGATAATCCACGCGCAGCATTTAACACACCTGCCACACCGTTACCACCCAATAGGTATTACGTAATAAGTAAGGTAATGCTAACATTACTCAGTGCCTGGGATGTTATTTCTATTTGGTTGACTTCCTATTGAATTTACACTCTCCTCAAGCCACTGTAACCCATCCCTGCTCTCCTCTCTACTAGCATATAACTTGACTTCCCCTGCAGAATTCTAGGACAGCACTTATTGAAGTGGGGTAAGATCAGGTGGGGTAGGGAGGGGAAAGACGGGTCATCCTCCCCTTCTTGCCCCACATGGAGATTCTGCCGTGCCCCTCCACAGCAGGGAGGGTCAGCTCTCCACACTGCCCTAGCGGCATCTCTGTGCCTGGGCATCCTACCGCCTCTTCCCTGTGCTTTCTCTCCCAATAGGCTGTGCCTGTGGCTCTTCTTTGCAGGACTGCCCTCAGCCTACTGGAACACTTTTCCTGCACAGGAGGAAATCCTGGGACTTTCTGTCCCGCAGGAAGTACCTTCACTTATCACTGATATGTGACCATGAAAGCCTGGCTCATTGCCTGCAGTAAGGTTTATACTCCAGGGCTCTCAGGGGACCAGGCAGAAGCCACCATTCTCTGTCCTGCCTCTCCCACTCTACTCACTGATTTCTACCGAGAGCACTTCCTTAATAAATCTCTTGCATGTGAGTCCTCATTTCAGGGTCTGCTTCTGGGAAACCTGTCCCAAGACATAAATCCTCTAGGGGTTTTTGAAAGTATGCTTCTTGGGGCTTCCCTGGTGGTGCAGTGGTTAGGAATCCGCCTGCCAGTGCAGGGGACACAGGTTCGAGCCCTGGTCCGGGAAGATCCCACATGCCGCGGAGCAACTAAGCCTGTGCACCACAACTACTGAACCTGCGTGCCACAACTACTGAAGCCTACGCGCCTAGAGCCTGTGCTCCGCAGCAAGAGAAGCCACCGCGATGAGAAGCCCGCGCACTGCAATGAAGAGTAGCTCCCACTCGCCGCAGCTAGAGAAAGCCCGCGTGCAGCAACGAAGATCCAATGCATCCAGAAGTAAATAAATAAAATAAATACATTTATTAAAAAAAAAAGAAAAAGAAAATATGCTTCTCTACTGCACCCCCAGAGGGCAAGTGCAGGGATGGTGGAGGAAGAATGTCTGACATTGAGGTCTGTGTGCTTCCACTGGGCTCCACTGTCTCCAAATGGGTGTGTCTGGGAAGACCAGGTGGGTTCTGTTCAGGAGCATCAAGGATGGGACCTGGCCAGGTGGCAGGAGCAAAGGGCACACCAGGCAGAAGTAAGGACTTAGTTCTGCCAATAACTAGCTGGGAAACCTAGTTAACTAGTAAACTAGCTATAAAATGAGAATGGTACTAGTACCTGCCTCATAGGGCTGTGGTGAGGATTAAATGAGAAAATCCATGGAAGCTCTTAACCTAGCGCCTGGCATATTATAAGCATTCAGTCAATGTTAGCTGTTATTATTATCCCGTATTTTCTCATAGTATTTTGTGAGGGCTTCTATTTCACCTCAAATCGTTGTCTTATATGTATGTGTCTGTCTCCCCCTTTATGCAGTGTGACCTTGATGGGCAGGAATCATCTTTGTGGGGTACATAAATCCCATTTGGCCTCATCCAGTAATTGCAGGTGCCAAAAATTCAGTAAATACTTGTGAAATTAAACAGACTTGACCAAGGGCAGGGAGTGGGTAGCAAGTAATGAGAGAGAGACAGAGACAGAGAGAAAAGGAGAAGAGGGAGGGGGAACGGGAGTGCAGGAAGAGAAAATATTCTTCCTTGGGATGCTGCTCCTTTCTTGATTAGCTTTTGGGACGAAATACAACTTAGTCCTCAATGACAAAGGACCTCATAGAGATCTTAAGCCCACTACGACCATCCCTCACCGAAGTTTAAATAACATTGTGTTTGAACCACTCACATGTTACAGCCTATAAGCCCTGCGTTTCCCTTTCTGTTCACGGTCTCTAGTGTATCACCCTTGAGTACAAGGACTTACATCTATGAAAGCCCTTGTTTCTTTCTGGTTTTTTGTTTTTTTTTTTTTTTTTTTTGCGGTACGCGGGCCTCTCACTGCCGCGGCCTCTCCCGTCACGGAGCACAGGCTCCGGACGCGCAGGCTCAGCGGCCATGGCTCACGGGCCCAGCCTCTCCGCGGCATGCGGGATCTTCCCGGACCGGGGCACGAACCCGTGTCCCCTGCATCGGCAGGCGGACTCTCAACCACGGCGCCACCAGGGAAGCCCAAAGCCCTTGTTTCTTAACCCTCCTCCCTCCAAGAGTCATCTAGTCCTCATTCTTACTAATGTTCAAGATAAAGGAAATAAGGTGGTATAGCAGAAGAAGCTCTAGGTTTTAGCGTCACATACACTTGGATTTTAACCCTGGCTCTGTGTGATCTTCAGCAAGGTGTTAACTTCTATAAGCCTCAATTTCCTCGTCTGTAATAATAGAACCTACCTCTCAGGGTCATTGTGTGGACTAGAAATAGGTGTGAAAAGCCTTTAGCATTGTGTGTGAGGGTCAGCCCAGGAAAACAAAGAGCCACACACGGAGAAGTAAGGCTTGTAGGTTTTAATGTTTCATGATTGTTAACAGAGCAGTCTCAAGGAGACCCCCAGAGAACCTGTTCTGACTTTAGAAGCACTTCCTGTGGACGATGGAGGGCCCTGCCTCATCATACTCTGGCTTGCTGATCCACATCTGCTGGAAGGTGGAGAGAGAGGCCAGGATGGAGCCTCCGATCCAGACTGAGTACTTCCGCTCTGGGGGAGCAATAATCTGCAAAGAGCAAATGTGGTGAATCATGATCAGTCGCCAAGGAATAGGGAAGGTGGTCCAGGAATCATCTCACCGCACTGCCAGACTGTCCTGGAAAAGAACAGCCTCTGTGGTCAGAAAGGAACAGGAGAAACCTTGTGGTAGATTAGACTATTGCTCAGATTGTCACTCTTCCTCCCACCCCATCCCCCTGCCCCTGCATGAGAAGAGTTCAGTGTTCCACCCTGTGACTTTGGGCTGGGCTCTGTATTTGCTTTGGCCAGTGGGATGTCAGCAGACTTGACACAGGGGCTAGAAATGTGTTTCAGGCATGCAGGTAGGCACACTCTCTTGTGTCTCTGCCATCTTCATGAGAAGAATTTCCCTTGAAGAGCTACTGGACCTTCAGCCTGGGCCCCACAGTGAGAGATGTGCACCTGACCAGAGCTGTCTAGCCAAGCTTGACCTAGATCAGCTGACTCCCAGCTGACCTGCAGATGCATGAGCAATAAATGCTTATTATTACGTGCCCTGAAATTTCATAGTTGCTGTTACCCAGCAATAGCTAACCAATACAAACATCTGTAAGGGGAGTGCTGTTCTGTTCTTGCCTAGAGTTTGGATGCGTGGGCAGCTTGGGCTGGGATTCCTCCATTCCTGAGTCTAAGCCAGTCTACTCAACAGTCTCTTGTATCTGAGAAGTTCTCAAATTCATACACGCCGCTGGGATTCCTGAGCTTGGCCTTGAGAAATTGGTTGTCATGTCAGACAACTTTGAACTCCACCTAAAAGTATATCTCAAAGGACCATGACTCTTCAACTAATTCCTGTTTCTGAAGGGACTAAGAATTTAGTGCTAGAACAAACCAGACATGAAATAGATTTTTTTGTCTCCTAAGACTCTCCCTACATATTTCCTAAATTGCAGAGATCATGGAATAGCTAAATAAGTAGGGTATTTAGAGGTTATCTTATTCAGGCAGACAAAAGTCACCCCATTGCTCCTTTGACAGATACCTCAGGGACTGGCACAGCCACTAAGAAGGTAACAGATTTTACTGCTGGGCAGTTCTAGTTGTGAGAAAACTCTGGGTTGTCTTGGGCTGGAGGCCCTAAATCTCAGCCCCATTCCCACCATACTCCATACCCTTCCACACTTCCATATCCTGGAGCTTGCCTCACCTCCCCCAGTCCATTGTGGCTGGGGTGTTTGTACCTGCACACATCCCCGGGCATCTTTGCTTACTCACTCTCTTTCCCCTGCCTGCAGTGTGCTTTCCCCTCCTCTGGTCTTATTTAAGCTGTTCTTCCATTGATCATGTCTACAAATCAGATCTTAAACTCCTGGAAGGCCGGCAATGTTATTGAGCTCAGGGCAGTGGCTCATAAATCGGAATATGCATCAAATCATTGGTGTCCATTTATAAGTGTAAGTGATGGGGGCACCCCAGACCTGCTGAACCAGAATCAGGTGTGGTATCCTGACACATCGTCCTAGTAAAAAGCCGCTGCCCCAGGCCTGGCACATTGCCCCCCATGTGGCAGACCTCAGTAAGCGTGGCTGCTCCGATTGGCTCTGGGTGAGAAGAGCCCGCTGCTCACCTGTTTTCTGGTGGCCTGCTCTGCTTCCCTGTGCCAAGCACCATCTGCTAGGCAGGGGGAAAGCCTTTGTGAAGAAGGTTCTTACAATACTGACATAGAGAACACACTTCCTCAGATCAGGCCTACTCCCCAGAGACCAACTTTTTTGTGACTTTATTGTAACCTTCAACCTATTTGTTATCTCTATTTTACTCCTAACTCTTTCTAATCCTGTAGTAGCAAAGTTCCTAGAAGCCCTAAAAGTGTCTGTCTGATTGCTTGGGGACCAGAGGCTGGGGAGAAGTGGTAAGACAGGTGGGCTCCCGTTCTGTTGAGGCCTATGCAGTGAGAAGCATTGTGTGGGAAGACTGTGACCAAGATGGGACAGCACATCAGAGGCTGTCCAGGAATCAAGGAATGTTCCTGTGAGTTTGAACCAGCAGCCTGTCCTATAGCCAACATTCTCTCTTTGGAACTTTCACCCTCCTCTGGGGTGACACCCAAGTCCTTTTTAAAGTTTAAAGTTTAAAGATGGTGTGGTGTTGCCTCCTTCTTTTCTTTCCCTCTTTCCCTCCTCATTTCCTCCTCAAGCCCCTCAACTTCTCTCCATTCCAAATCCTTTCACCTCCTTCTCATATGGGGTCCATGAAATTGTGTTTGAGAACCCAGGCTAAATGTGTCTCCCGCTTATGAGTGCCCAAAGAACATAAACCCCCAAGGTGAAATCTGTCTCGGGCCAGAATGATGGAGCACCCAGGAGGCCACCAAGCTGTAAGCCTGGCAGCCTGACTCGGAGCATCTCCCAAGTACACAGGTCTTTGTACAAAGAACAGGATGGAGGGAGCCAGGGCAGGACCCACCTTGATCTTCATGGTACTGGGGGCCAGGGCTGTGATCTCCTTCTGCATTCTGTCAGCAATGCCGGGGTACATGGTTGTACCCCCAGAGAGGACATTGTTGGCGTATAAATCCTTGCGGATGTCAATGTCACACTTCATGATGGAATTGTAGGTTGTTTCATGAATTCCAGCTGACTCCATGCCTAGTAGAGATCACAGTAGCTAGTCAGCATCCACCACGTCACACCTACAGCTCCTCAGGTGACCCTTCTGTTGATGCAGCTACCCTGGTTCGCCTCAGTCACCTCCCTAATGGATTATAAGATCAGACTCTCTAACTGGTCATCGCCCTGCCTTGAGTTTCCCCCAGTTCTGACTGATCTTTCACACTGTTCCCTGATGAATATTTCTAAAGGAATACTTTCATTGTATCACGTTTTTCACAGATTTATTGAGATATAATTCATGTACCATAATATTCACCCCTTTAAAGTGTGTAGTTCACTAGTTTTTAGTGTATTCACAGAGCTGTGCAACCGTCATCACAATCTAATTTTAGAACATGTTTAATACTCCCCAGATAAACTCCATGCCCATTAGCAGACACTCTCCATTTTCCCCTGCACTCCTTCCCCAGCCTTAGGCAACCACTAATCTATTTTCTATCTCTATAGATTTGCCTATTCTGGACATCTCATATAAATGGAACCATACAATATTTGTTCTTTTGTGTCTGGCTCCTTTCACGTAGCATAATGTTTGCAAGGCCCATCCATGTTATAGTCTGTTATAGCCAAATAAAATTCCATTGTATGGATATAGCCATCATATCATCTTTGCCTATTTGTTGACATCTAGCTACCTTAGTCTGGCACCAAGATCTTCCACAGTAAAAGGCCCTGCCTGCCATACCAGCTCATGCCCACTTACCTGGGGTCCCCCATCTCCAGTCTTTTCTCCATGTGATATAATTCCACACTGTAGATAGAGGAATCTACCTAAAGTGAAATACTGACTTTGCTACTCTGCTGTCTAAAAACTTCCAGGGGCTCTACATTGCTGATATGATTAACCCCCATGCTCTTTGTGTGGTCCAGTGGCTCTCTCGTTTCCTCTGTGTGCAAACACACATACACACAGACACACACACACACACACACACACACACCTCACCCATCATGTCCCAAATAGAATATGACTTGTCACTCCTCCACACTTTGCACATACATTTCCATTTGCCTTGCATGCCATTCCCTACCCTGCACTCCTTCCATTTCCAGATACCATAAAATGATACTCATTCTTCAAGGTTCTATTCAAATATTCACCTTCTCTGAGAAGCCTTCCCTGATTTCTTAGGCCTATAGCGCTTTGTCCAGTTTGCTATTTACCACTACACTATATGTCAACATTTGCTTACAGGTCTTTCTCTTCTCTTTCTCTCTTCTCAAGAAAGTAGCTACCCTTGTATTAAATATTATCTTATTTCATCCTTGTGGCAACCCTATCTAGTAGGTACTATCGTAATTTCCACTTTATAGATAAGAAAACTGAGTTTTGAAGAAGGTAACATGTCCAAGGTACAGCACTTGAACGAGCAGAATCAGGATTTAAAACCAGGTCTGATCCCCAAACTCACCCTGTTTACTGCTATAGGTTTCAGACCCCATGATTTAAACGTTGAGGGATCCAAGAAATATTTTATGTTTTAATCTCATTCTTAGTTTCATGTTTATATTCCCATCCCACTTTTCCTTTATTTTGATTTCCTTACCCTTATATTTAAAATTAGATTTTAATCTAGTTGTATTGTTTATGTATTTTTGGTCCTTCCTGGAAAAATATAGGCTAAGTATAAAGAATAAACAGTGTGAGTGACTCCTGGTGTTTCTCTTTCCATCCCTGCCCTCCTAATTGGCCAGGACTACAGGCCGAGCCTCACCAATGAAGGAGGGCTGGAAGAGGGTCTCGGGGCAGCGGAAGCGCTCATTGCCAATAGTGATGACCTGCCCATCTGGCAGCTCGTAGCTCTTCTCCAGGGAGGAAGAGGAGGCTGCCGTGGCCATCTCATTCTCAAAGTCCAGGGCCACATAGCACAGCTTCTCCTTGATGTCTCGCACGATTTCTCGCTCGGCTAGAAAGAGTAGAAATGACAGAGAGTAGATACTCAGCTCTGTTAGTTTGGTTGTCCCATTTTGATCTCCATGAAAACTTCTTCCTTCTCTTTTGGGTTCAGTCTCAAGATGAATGTTAATGTTTTCATTCCTCTTTCTAAAGCGAAAGTTCAAAATCTCGATTCCCAAGCAAAACTTTTTATGTGCTTTTGTCTTGCTCTCATCACTCAGCCCTGACAAAGCTGCAGGCCTTCCTGAGGGCCTTTCAGGACACATTCCCCATCTAGATGGAGGCTTATATGCTGGGATTGTACAGAATCTAGGAAGACTCCTACCCAAAACCTCTTCCTGCCCAGGGGGCCACTTCCCCTTAGAAATTCACACCTTACTTATTCCATTTGTCCTCAGACAAACCATAAACCCCCTAGGTAATGAAATGCGCCACCAGATTCTTACCACCATTCTGCCAAATAAAAACTAGCTCTGATCCTGGTGTGGACATGGACAGAGGTAGCAGGTCCCTGGGGAGCGAAGGAGTGCTGTGAAAGCACACTTAAAAGAGGGAAAAGCCAAGCGCTTTTTAGGATGAGTAGGTCTAAGCCTTGTCTCCCTCCCCAAGGTGTCTTGGTTGGGAACATTCCTCCATAAATAAGGCTGCCCTGACTATCTGGTCTGGTCTAGGGGCCCAGCCCCAGCCTAGGGCCTCCCCGTTTACCCTAAAAGAGTTTGAGGACACAGGGCCACTGACTTCTCATTAGTCATGAGAATTTCTGGTCCTAGATCAGATTTGGTTCTGAGCTCAAGTCAAGTCCAGAAAGAGGCTGGGTACCTGTGGTCACAAAAGAATAGCCTCTCTCTGTGAGGATCTTCATGAGGTAGTCTGTGAGGTCGCGGCCAGCCAGATCAAGGCGCATGATGGCATGGGGCAGTGCGTAGCCCTCGTAGATCGGGACATTGTGGGTGACACCGTCCCCTGAATCCAGGACAATGCCTAGGGACAGAGAGGATAAGACCTATGAAAACCTTTAGTATTTTCTTTCATCTGTCTCTTTCTGGGACCTGTTACCAAAAGATCTTCAACTACCATATTTTTCTTTAGCAGCTAGAAAATTCACCCATGGTGAGAATTATCAATCATATTTTTTGTGTACATCAATTTGTGTGTATGTCAGTTTGTTTTCCCAAATGAGACTGGAAGGCAAGTAAAATGTCTCCTCTTCTTATATTCCTTGAAACACTTTCACAAAAATGCACACGTCAATTGGCATCTAGGCTGCACGTCCTTTAGCGAGACTGGATAATGTGCATATCCTTCAGGCATCAAACTAACACATAATGTAGTGCTAAAAGGACTATAGAAACCAGCTTGAAAAAAAATAACATTCTCTACTGATGAAACTTTTAGTAAACCATGAAAGGAAATAAGTTTTCTCAATGTGATAAGAAATCTCTCCTGATCCAACAGCCACATAATTGATGGGGAAACACTACAATATTGTTACTGTATTATTATTATTTAATATTGTCCTGGATGCTCTAGCCAATGCAGTATGACAGAAAATACACCTAAGAGGTACTATCATCAAAAGGGAACAGAATCATCATTATTTGCAGATAACGTGGTTGTATACTTAGAAGACCTAAGAGAACCAACTGAGAAACGATTAGAGTTAATCGGATGATTCAGTAAGAGCCAGATCCAAAATAAATATCCAGGGATCAGCAGCTTACTCTTATACAAGGATGTTGGTCACAGCATATTTTACAATAAAAAATAAAAATTGGAGACAACCTAAAGGTCCTGCAATAGAGAAATGGTCAAATCAATCCATCAATCATGGAACCATCACACAATGACTACCGTGTGGCCACTGAACATGACGTTCACAGCATAAAACCAAGCGCAAAGCACGGGATACAGAACTGCATATACCTATATTTCCCCATCACCATCCTTATCACCTGCAGTGAAATTATCCTTTACTTTTATCTCTCCTCCACTAGGCTGTTAGCTCCATAATGGCTGGTCTGTCTTGTTTGACAGTGTGTGCCCATGGCCTGTAGTGTTTGGCACATGGTAGGGAGTAATGGAAAATATTTGAATGAATGAATAAATGGACAAATCAATGAATACATGAATGAATGTTTGAAAGATGTTCAGAAGCAACTGATAAAGGATTAATTTCCAAAATTTACAAGCAGCTCATGCAGCTCAATAACAAAAACACAAACAACCCAATCCAAAAATGGGCAGAAGACCTAAATAGACATTTCTCCAAAGAAGATATGCAGACTGCCAACAAACGCATGAAAGAACGCTCAACATCATTAATCATTAGAGAAATGCAAATCAAAACTACAATGAGATATCATCTCACACCAGTCAGAAGGGCCATCATCAAAAAATCTAGAGAAAATAAATGCTGGAGAGGGTGTGGAGAAAAGGGAACACTCTTGCACTGTTGGTGGGAATGTGAATTGGTACAGCCACTATGGAGAACAGTATGGAGGTTCCTTAAAAAACTACAAATAGAACTACCATATGACCCAGCAATCCCACTACTGGGTATATACCCTGAGAAAACCATAATTCAAAAAGAGTCATGTACCACAATGTTCATTGCAGCTCTATTTACAATAGCCCAGAGATGGAAACAACCTAAGTGTCCATCATCGGATGAATGGATAAAGAAGATGTGGCACATATATACAATGGAATATTACTCAGCCATAAAAAGAAACGAAATTGAGCTATTTGTATGAGGTGGATAGACCTAGAGTCTGTCATACAGAGTGAAGTAAGTCAGAAAGAGAGAGACAAATACCGTATGCTAACACATATATATGGAATTTAAGAAAAAAAAGTGTCATGAAGAACCTAGGGGTAAGACGGGAATAAAGACACAGACCTACTAGAGAATGGACTTGAGGATATGGGGAGGGGGAAGGGTAAGCTGTGACAAAGCGAGAGAGAGGCATGGACATATATACACTACCAAACATAAGATAGATAGCTAGTGGGAAGCAGCCGCATAGCACAGGGAGATCAGCTCGATACTTTGTGACCGCCTGGAGGGGTGGGATAGGGAGGGTGGGAGGGAGGGAGACGCAAGAGGGAAGAGATATGGGAACATATGTATATGTATAACTGATTCACTTTGTTATAAAGCAGAAACTAACACACCATTGTAAAGCAATTATACCCCAATAAAGATGTTAAAAAAAAAAAATCTGTTGCATTGATGCATGAATGGGAGAAAGAATCTGGCCAAGCAGCCATGTTGTGTTCTTGTGCCAGTGCTCAAGTCTTCCCGGCCTCTTACCTGGGTCATCTTCTCCCTGTTGGCCTTGGGATTTAGGGGGGCCTCCGTGAGCAGGGTGGGGTGCTCCTCAGGTGCTACCCGCAGCTCATTGTAGAAGGAGTGGTGCCAGATCTGGTTGGGACAAAAGTCAGATCAGTCCAGCAGACTCCCAGTGGGCTGGAGACTTCCTATGGACATGCCCACGCTGGGGGAGGATGGCACAATGTTCTCAGAATGGACTGGATCTGGAGAGGAGGCCTGTCAGCCATGGGAATTTCAGATTGCTCTTTAGAGGTCATATTCCTTCTCAACAAGGCCTCAGACAGGACTCAGACCTGGGGCCAATATACTTAGTGTGTTGATTATTTCTGTCTGACATTGGCTCCTATTTACACCTCTCCCTTGTCTCCCCTGCTTTGTGCCCTGAGGGACAAGGCCCTCTGCAGCTCTCTGGCTTCTGGCTGTGCTTGGCTGATAGAAGATACCAGCAAGATGGTTGGAGAGTGGGAGCGGGGGAGAAGGGCAGGGTGATTTCCCGGCAACACTGTGGCCTCCCTGAGCACAGCTCCTGTTGCGCAGCCCCTCCTCAGGCTCCAGCTCTCACTGAGCTCTAGTCACGCTGCTCTTGCCCTTCAGCCTTCCAGCTGTAAGAGCTTCCCTCTGTTGCTGGTACTTGAGCGCCTCTGCATCCCTTTCCGGTTCCCTAACCCTGCTCACACCTCTGTAAGTAGTCCTTCCTTAAATTAATTCCAGAACCCCAGCTGAGTGTATACTGTCTCCTGCTGAAGCCTGACAGATATGCATTAACTGTCAATGTCTATTATTGACCAGGCTGTTCTTTAAAGCAGGGTTTCTCAACCTCAGCGCTTTGACATTTTAAGTTCAATAATTCTTTATTGTGGGGGGCTGAAGTGCATTAAGGGATGTTTAGCAGCATCTCCGTGTTCCACCCACTAGATGCCAGTAGCACTTCTCCAGCTGTGAGGGGCAAAAATGTCTCCAGACATTGCCAAATGCCCCTGGGAGACAAAATCGCCCCAGTTGAGAATCACTGCTTTAGAGGAAGTTACTTCTTCCCGCTGTGTACTGTTCCCTCTTTAGTGATGCAGGACAGCAAACAGGAGCCTTTATTTCAGAGGAATTTGGCAAAGAGTGGCAGGGACACAGGGCTTTGATTTCTTCAGAGGTGAGGCACAGGGTCCTCTGATTCCATTGTACCCATGTATTTAGGGACCCCTGGCTTTGTGCTAGGATGGTGCTAAATGTGATCTTAGTTTCAAAGTCTGGAGGGGAGAAAGGCAGTCAAAAAGACAAAATACAGGACATGTCCATATTTTCATGAAGGAAGAGGCAGGAGAAGTTCGTTTTCCAGGAGATTTGAGTAGGCCCTGAAAGCAAAGCAAGGTCTCCAGAGACTGAGGAGGGCATCTGAGGCAGAGCAAATGGCACAAGCAGAGGCCCTGGGCTGTGGAGGTGTCACAGGAGACATGAAGGAGATGGCAATTAGGCTTAATAATGTGATGTCAGTATTTCCTCAAATGTGGGCCCCGGAGGCTTTGGGATAATTGTTATAGGTGCAGGTTCCTAGGCTGTATCCCAGGCCCACACGTCAGAATCTTTGGGTGGGAAGGGAAAGCTGGGAAGAAGTGAGAGAGTGGCATGGACATATATACACTACCAAATGTAAAATAGATAGCTAGTGGGAAGCAGCCGCATAGCACAGGGAGCTCAGCTCGGTGCTTTGTGACCACCTAGAGGGGTGGGATAGGGAGGGTGGGAGGGAGACTCAAAAGGGAGGGGATATGGGGCTATATGTATATTTATAGCTGCTTCAGTTTGGTGTATGGCAGAAACTAACACACCATTGTAAAGCAATTATACTCCAATAAATATGTAAAAAAAAAAAAAAAGATTCTTTGGGTGTTGGGCCCAACCATCTGCACTTCATCTTACTTCATTTTCGGAAGCTTTTATAAAGTACTTTAAAAGTTAAGGATGTTGACAATTTTTAAATTAGGAAAATATTTTTAAGAGAAATAAAAATTTCTCATATTTCCATTACTTAATAATAAATAGTTAACACTTTGGCTTTTTTCTTCTCCCTAATCTTTCATCTTTATGTATTTTAAAATTTATTACTACTACCATTTATTTACTTCATATGCTCTCATTTATTTATCATTTACTACTCTTACACTTCTATGTTCAATTTTGTTTCCTGTCACTTTTCAGTTAATATAACAGAAAGAATTTTCTTTTCCATAGTAAACATTTACTTTTAATAAATTGAACTAAAAGTTTTTAATGTTTATACAACATTTCATCATATACCATCATCATCATATATTTAATCACATTACTATTCACGGTATCTTTGATTTTTGTTGATAAATAATCTTGTGAAAACTATCTCTGTACATATTACATTTTATTTTTTCTATTCAGGATGTTTTCCAAAGAAAAAAATTCTAAGAATGGAATTACTGAACTAAAGAGCATGGCAATTGGAAAACTTTTTGGTTTCTATCACCCACAAAGAGGCTAATTTTGTCTTTACTTCAGAATAGAAATTGCCTGTTTCACTCTTAAGTGCATTCAGTGTTCTCACCGTTAATATGAAATAATTTGATAGATGAAATTAATACCTAGTTGTTTTACTTTGAATTTTTAAATAAGTTTTTAAATAATTTTTCAAATACATTTAAACTTGTTCAGATTTTCAACTTTTGATAATTTCTGTTTGGCCAATTATCTGGTCATGTCCCTTGATTATTTGTCTGGTGGAGACTTTGTGTTTTTAATTATCAATTTACATTAGTTGTTTGTATTAATCCTCTTTTGCACTTGTGAATATTTTTTGCAATTTGTTGTTTGCCTTTTAAATTTGGTTTTGTTTTTCACATACTAGAAGTTATGATTTTTAAGAAGTCACATTTGTCATTCTTGGGATTTTTTTTTTTTTTTTTGCGGTATGTGGGCCTCTCACTGTTGTGGCCTCTCGCGTTGCGGAGCACAGACTCTAGAGGCGCAGGCTCAGCGGCCATGGCTCACGGGCCTAGCCGCTCCACGGCATGTGGGATCTTCCCAGACCCGGGCACGAACCCGTGTCCCCTGCATCAGCAGGCAGACTCTCAACCACTGCGCCACCAGGGAAGCCCTTACATTTGTCATTCTTTTTCTCTGACTTCTTTCACCAGAAATTTGATAAATACTCACACTTACTATACTGTATTTTTTATCATTTGAATTTTTATATTTAACTTTCATATTCAATTGATATGTGTTTGATGAAATTGTATGAAGTAATGGCCATAAACAGATTCCCTATGCCCCAAATAATGAATCGGTTGTCACAGAATAATTCATTGAATTACTGAATCCTTCTCTACCCTCTGGTCTTGGAAGTTTCATTTACCATGTATTTCTTTTTTACCTCTGTACTGGTACCAAATTGTTTTAATTTTTATAACTTTATATTATATTTTACTATTTGGATATAGCAAGTCTCCTCTCATAGTTTTTCTTATTCATTTTATTCTCATAAATTTTGTCTTATTTATTTTTCCACACTTTATGATCTTGCATAATTAAGACTCGTGATATTTCTAGTCAAACTCATAGAAGCAGAGAGTAAAACGGTAGCTACTAGGAGCTGTGGGAAGGGAAAAGAGAGGCTATCTTAGTCAAGGCATACGAAGTGTCAATTATGCGGGATGAGTAAATTCTGGAGATCTAACATAATATATTAGCATGGTGACTAAAGAGAGCGATGCTGTCCTGTATACTTGAAATTTGCTAAGAGGGTAAATCCTACGTGTCCTCACTGCAAGGGAAAAAAAAACCCACGAACTATGTGAGGAGTAGATATGTTAATTAGCTTGAATGTGGCGACTATTACATAATGCATACACACATCAAATCATCAAGTCGTATACCTTAAATATATACAGTTTTTAAAATTGTGAGATTTTTGTTAGAATGGCAATGAGCCTATAAATTAATTTGAGAAGATTTGACAGCTTTACCCTATTCAGTTTTTCTTTTAAGGCACAGAATATACGTTAGGGGTTTCTTTAAAGAGTTCATATTACTACTGTGAATAAAATATTTTGTCTATTATGTTTTCAAGTTAGATATCATTAGAAATATAATAATATGTGCCACGTATTGAGCATTAAGTATGTTCCATGCCTTGGGATCATATACTAAATATTTGCCTACTTCAACCTCCAAAGCAACCTAATGAAGAAAGTATTTTTATTTCCACAAATAAGGAAGCTGAGGCTTAGAGGGAGGGATTTGCTCCTAGATCTCCCTGCCACTGACTCCAGTGTCTGTGCTCTTAACCATCCCACAGAGTGAAGCAAGAGCTATTGTATTTTTGTCTATTTATGTCACATTCAGAGTGACTGAATCTAGGGTTTAGAGAAATTGAATCTACGGTTTAGAGAAAAGTATATGTGTACTACAGCTTTCAAATCAGCTTTCTTTATTCCCAGTTGCAGTCTGCTCAATAAGCCCTCTATTACATTTCAAAAGACAGTCATTGCAGAAACAAGAATTCTCAGACAACTGTCAGTGGAATTTATCAAAAGAATATTCGAAATATTGTACAGCAACTATACTTCAATTAAAAAAAAGAATATTAGAAAGGCTCTATTAGCATTTTGCACGTGATCTTGTGGAACACAAACTACCATTTAAAAATTACCCCCCGGGCTTCCCTGGTGGCGCAGTGGTTGGGAATCCACCTGCCGATGCAGGGGACGCGGGTGCGTGCCCCGGTCCAGGAGGATCCCGCATGCCGCGGAGCAGCTGGGTCCATGAGCCATGGCCGCTGAGCCTGTGCATCCAGAGCCTGTGCTCCGCAACGGGAAAGGCCACAACAGTGAGAGGCCCGTGTACCGCAAAAAAAAAAAAAAAAATTACCCCCCACGTCTTCTTTTTTTAAAATATTTTATTTTCATTTATCATTTACAGGTGGTTTGTTCCTGATATTAATATTTCCTAGGTATCTAGTGAGAGTTTTATCTTTTTTGGGGGGGGGCACGTGGCATGCGGGATCTTAGTTCCCAGACCAGGGATCGAACTCCCGCCCCCTGCAGCGGAAGCGTGGAGTCCTAACCGCTGGGCTGCCAGGGAAGGCGCCCCCTCAACATCTTCTGACATGAAAAAAGCTTCTAGAAACCGGTAGAGATTCCTATTTAAATTTTTCACTAGAGAAGCATCATACTAATATAGCATCCATGTACCTATCTGAGGTCACGACAGGGAAAATAAAGGGGAGAAAGCTGTTTGCCTTTCTGGAAGCAGCAGAGCATTTTAAAGAAGGATAAGCACTGCGCTGGAGTGAAAGCTGGAAAGGATAAAGCTGGGACTTCTGCGGGACCAGGTCCTCAAACGCCAGACAGTGAGTTAGGAACCTACTGCTGGTTAGTGAAGAGTCTGAGGAGATGAGTGACATGATCTGGTCTGTTTTTAGAAAGACAAGCTTTGCAGAAGTTCAGAGAATGAATTAGGTGAGTGAGGCAGGAGACAAAGAAATCAGTCAGGAAGCCATTGGAATCGTCTAGTGAGAGATGTTGGCAGCTGAGGCTGGGGAATGCCCAGGGGGATGGACAGGAAGGAAAGAAGGATGTGAGAAACATTGCAGAGGAAGAGTTGACAGGGCAGAGGGTGGGTCTTGATGATGTTAAAATGAGCGCACTAAAGGGGGAGTCCACCAATACCTTCTCCATGTCATCCCAGTTGGTGATGATGCCGTGTTCAATGGGGTATTTGAGAGTTAGGATCCCTCGCTTGCTCTGAGCCTCGTCCCCCACGTAGCTGTCTTTCTGGCCCATTCCCACCATTACACCCTGCAATGCAAAAGAGATGGAAGGAGAACAGAATTGGCCGAGAGCTCCACTTAGAGGGATTCAGGTATTGGAGGGTCTCTGAAGAAGGTTAAAGATAGGGAAAATGTCCTTCTTCCCCTGGAAACCGGACTGAAGGAGACAGGGCGAGGCAGATACCAATGAATGTGGAGATGGCAGGAGGGAAGGCAGAGGATTTCTTGTCTCTCTTCTCTGTCCTAAAACAATGTCATTTTCTGAGAGAACAGGGCCCATGCATACACATCTTCCTCTTACCTTACCTTACTTAGCACACACACACACGCACATACGCACACGCACACACGCACATACGTGTGCAGCTCAGCATAGACTCCACGGTGCAGTGCGTCCTCCTACTAACTCAAAGCCTTGGGTCCAGATGAACATATACCTGGTGGCGAGGACGACCCACAATGGAAGGAAAGACAGCCCGGGGGGCGTCATCTCCTGCAAAGCCAGCCTTGCACAGGCCAGAGCCATTGTCACACACGAGCGCAGTTGTCTCCTCTTCACACATGGCGAGTCTGGCCGAGTGAACCAGGGGCTAGAGCACCTAGGGAACTGGGGAGAAGAGAGGTAACTGGCCACTTGTCAAAATCATGTCGGAGACAGTATTCTTGGCTGTCTTGGGGCCTGACCCCATCGGCGACCAGGACCTAGTTCCGGGAGGGACAGGTGTGGACCTGGCCCCTTACTCTGGCATTTGGGCTTCTTCCCTCTACCCTACTGTTTTGGGCTGAACTGTTTACTCCCCAGTTTCTATGTTGAAGTCCTAACCCTAGTACCTCAGAGTGTGACTGTATTGGGGGATAAGGCCTTTAAAGGGGTAATTAAAGTAAAATGAGGTCATTAATCCAATATGACTGGTGTCAAATATGCCTAATTCAATAGAACAGGTATCTTTATAAGAGGAAATTGGAACACAGACACACACAGAGGGAAGATCATGTGAAGACACAGCAAGAAGACAAATCATCTACAAGCCAAGTTGAGAGGCCTCAGGAGAAACCAGCCCTGCTGATACCTTGACTTCAGACTTCTAACCTCCAGAACTGTGAAAAAATAAATTTCCCTTGTTTAAGCCAGTCTGTGGTACTTTATTATGGCAGCCCTAGCAAATTAATCCACCTGCCTCTCGAAGACCTGAAATGACTACAAAGCATTAATCCAATGGAAAGAATCTCTAAAGACTTGAAGTTTAGAAAAGGAATTGAAAAGATTTGCAGTAAACATAATTAAGGGTTACTATTTGCTGTATAAAAGAACTCCTACAAATCAATAAGAAAGAAGTAAATAGCCCAAAAGAAAAAAATAAAAAGACTATGAATAGATAATTGACAAAATGAAATGCAAACACCCAACAATTACATGAAAAGATGTTCCGCTTCACTCTCAGGAAATGCAAATGAAATAAGACCATTTTCACCCATCGTATTGTTAAGATTCAAAGTTTTATTAGAGGTGTTGGCAAAGCTGTGGGAACACTGGCACTCTTTAATCAGAGAAACACACCAACACACAATCTGGTACTACCCAAAAGTTCCTTGTGGGATACCGTACTGAGGTTAAGAGAAGGGCCAGGCAGATCGACGTGGACCAATGTGGATAGATTTCGAAACCATTCTGCTGAGTGAACAAAGCAAGCTGCAGAATAGAATGTCCAGCATAAAACCATTTATGAGTTCTTTTTAGAGCACAAAACAATATTGTGCATTTTCCATAATTTTCTTTTTGTGTGGATGGGAACACATAGCAAAAAGTTCTGGAAAAAAAAAAAAAGTCTAAGACTGATCATAGTGGTTACCTGGAAGTGGGAAGGGGACTGAGAGGAGAAGTGCCGTAATGTTTTAATTGTTAACAAGGAGACTGTATCCATGTATAGTTTATAATGAAAATCAATCATACATATCATTAAGGAAAAAAAGATGCAGGTGAAAATGTACAATCCTAAGGGTAGGAGCCCCTTGAGGAGGACAGGGCAGCCTGAGAGGAGAGAGGAAAGTGAGAGAATTCGTGATGGGACTCACTGTCTCTGCTGCTTCAGATGGAGAAAAACAGAGAAGTCCTTCCTCCAATTATCTGAATTGGGACGACTGCAAAGTGACGACGGAATGAATTTTTCTAATGTCTGTTGCATTGTCTTTGGGTGAGGGGCAGTGTAAAAAGACCACACCCGACAAATTCTTGGCACTTGGTGAAGCAAGAGAAGCAATGGCAGCTCAGGAGATGGTGTGCGGATTGCCTTCCAGCCTGAGAAGCCCCTCAGTGGGGCAGAGTGGAAGTGGGGAGGGTCCCAGCTCCGGGGGAGGTGGGAGTCCAGAGAAGAGAGGCATGGAGAGAGAAGGTAGCTGCAGAGGACAGCCCACCAAGCTTCATCTGGAACGAGCGGCAGGAGGGGAAGAAGAGAGCTGCCCTAGACACCTGGGACGCTGGTCCTCCAACACCCTTACGTGGAAGGAGGACAGCAAATACCATGACCAAAGCAAAGAGGAGACAGAATCACAGCCTGAGAACGGGAGGTCAGAAAGCCTACCTAGAGACTGAGCAGAAGCTTATTCACACAGTTTGCAGGCTAAAAGGAAGCCCTTGCCTGTTATATTCAAAGCAGGGTGCACACTAGGGGAGAGGCCCACTGTGAATTCTTGAATCCAGCTCTGCTTGTCCTTGCTGATCCTCACGATCACCCATGGTCAAAGTGATAAAGTCCCAGTTCTCGCACTTGGCCTAAAAGGCCCGACAGGGTCTGGCCCCTGCCTGTGTCTCCAGGCTCATCTCCCCCCGGCCCCCCTTGGCCTTCTCACTCTGGCTATGTGGAGTTCCTTTCCATTCTCCGAATGTGTCATCTTGTCTCCCTTCTGGCCCTTTAGACACAGGGTCTGGAACACCCTTCCCCCAACCTATTTGCTACTGACTCCCATCACCTGTCAGACCTCTGCATCAACACTGCATTTTCAGTCTCTCTGGCCCACCGGTCTCAGTTAGTGGCCCTTCTTCTTTGCCCCACAGCACCTTGAACTTGTCCCAGCAATGATCAACTCTGCACATCTGGGCTCATCTGTAGCTCTGTAAAGGCAGGAGCTGGGCCTGTCCTGTTCTCCAGCGATTCTTCTGTAAGCCTAGCACAATGTCTGGCACAGGGTGGGCTCTTAAACCTTTTTTTATCCAGATGAATGAATGAATGAGTCAATGGATGTCAAGGAGAAGGATTTTCAGAATAACAAAGGTAGAACAAACACTGGTGAGAGGACACTGGTCTGAGATGAGGTGGAGATTGAAGGAAAGTACTTAGTTGTTCAAAACAATGTTGTCTCTGATTTGAACAGTTTCTGGATTGCAGGGAAGATCCCTAACCTTCTGCCATGTTAGACCAATGGAGAAATGGAGAGATGTCAGGAGATGGAGATGGCAAATGTTGTTCCAATATTCAAAAAGGGAAAGAAGGCAGATATCTAAAACATCAGATAATCTTGATATGCAAATTAGGCAGGCTTCCAGAAGGTGTTATTAAAGCACTATTAAAGAAGCAGTGGGCTTCCCTGGTGGCGCAGTGGTTAAGAATCTGCCTGCCCAGAAATAGAGACACAGATGTAGAGAACAAACATGTGGACACCAAGGGGGGGAAGGGGGGGGGGGGGGGGGGGGGGGGTGGTGTAATGAATTGGGCTATTGGGATTGACATGTATACACTGATGGGTATAAAATTGATGACTAATAAGAACCTGCTGTATAAAAAATGAAATAAAATAAAATTCAAAAAAAAAAGTAAGCTTCTTCCAAGCAATTCAGAGGGAAATAGAATATAAAATTTTAGAATTTTAAAACATTTTTCCCCCTTCTGTTGTTTTCAAAGGCTTTGGGGGTGGCGGGGGGAGGTGGTGGTAGTGGGATATTGGAGTTAGAATAGCCATAACATAAAAACAGTGAATTTTACTAAGGAAAGTGAATCCCAGGAATTCTGTTCAAATAAGATAGACTCTTTTGTTGTGCTAGAGGTGTCCTGTGTTGAAGTTAGTAGGCTATATGGGAGTATTTGTCTAGAAAAGAAAAAAAATATTAATTGGTATTTTATTGATGACAATAAAGTTGGAATATGATAAATAAAAAAATTTAAAAAAAGAAGAATCCTCCTGCCAATGCAGGGGACACAGGTTCAATCCCTGGTCCGGGAAGATCCCACATGCCGCGGAGCAACTAAGCCCGTGCGCCACAACTACTGAGCCTGCGCTCTAGAACCCGCGAGCCACAACTACTGAAGCCCGTGCGACTAGAGCCCGTGCTCCTCAATAAGCGAAGCCATCACAATGAGAAGCCCGCACACCGCAACGATGACCCAATACGGCTAAAACTAAATAAAATAAAAATAAATAAATCAAAAAAAACGAAGCAGTGATTTCTTGTAATTGATTAGGGTTTACCAAGAACAAATGTCGGCAGACTGACAGCTTCCCTTTTTCCACAGGACCCCCTGGCTGGAAATGCAGGAGAAGGCGGGAGACATTGAGCTTCACTTGATCTTGGCATCTGACAAATTCTCCCGTGATATCCCTATTGATAAAGCCATGTGGGCTGAACAGTAAATCAGTTAGGCATATTTACAGCTGCCTGAGTTATTGTCACTGAAAGGTGTTAATTGATAGGTCACTGTCGACCTGGAGGCAATGATATGCCTCAGAGCTCCACTCTCGATCCTTTCTCATGTGACATGTTTATAAATGAGTTGGATGAAAATATAGAGTACATGCTGATCAAATGTCCAGATAAAACACACATGTTGGCTGGAAGAATCGAAATCCGAAAGATCTCAAAAAGCAGAGAAAATGAACTGAATCCACTAAGATTAAATTTAATAGGATAAATATGAGGGTGCGGATGTGAGTCTAAATAACCAAACTGTGAAAGCTCTCGTTCAGCCTCTGTGAGCAGGACCTGGGGTCTTGTCGACAGTCTGCAGTGTGCTGGAGCCGTGATAAAAGCTAGCCCCACCTTCGGCCAGAGCGCTGTGTCCGGTTCTTAGGGCCACCCTTGCCAGCAGAGCTGTGGGAAGGTGGGCCCCCGTTCACGGCTGACAGGGCAAATTGTACTACTTTTCTAAAGGGGAATTCAAAAATACTTATCAAAAGGCTTAAAAGTGTACATATCTTTTAACTCCACAAAGACACTTCTAGGAATTTATCCTTGGGAAACACTCATGGGTGAGTGCAAAGATTTGGCCAACTTTAATGCGAAAAAAAGTTATTGAGTAATAAATAAAATGGTTTCTAAACTAGGTTCCAGAAACCTCCCTACGACAGAGAGAGCAGAATATTTAATATCCTGGAAAAAGTGCAAGCTGCTTTGTTAGGTGAAACACAACATGTTCTGTGGTTCCATTTTTGGTAAAAATGTATTTTTAATTTTTAAAAATTGGGAGCCTTTCACATACATTATCTATTTAATCCTCACAAAAGCCCTGAGGGAAGATATTTTTAGTTCCATTTTACAGATAAGGAAACCAAGTCTCAGAGAAGTGAAAGGACTTAGCTCTCCGGCTCCTCACTGGGAGAGGCAGGGCTGGCCTCAGCCCAGGACAGGCTTCGAAGCCTGGGCTTGCACCTTCCCCACCACCTCAGTGAAACCCTCACAACTTCTCCATGTTTGGTGTTTTTGCTTCTGCCTCTCTGTCTCTCTAGCACTGTTGGTAGCAAAAGCCCTAAAACAAAAGGGCCTGTGTTCTTTTCTCTCTCTGAGCCTCTGAGCCCCTCCTATGCCATGCCTAGGTCTAGATTTATGTTTACAGCCCCTGCATCGGTGTTTAGCACATAGTAGGTGCTCAGTATATGTTGGACGGCAATCCCACCACCTTCCTGGCCTTCCCCTGACAATCTGCTCTGCCCCTGTCCCTGCAAGCTGAGCTTGAGTCCCCACAGGCCAGTCTCAGGGCTGCTCGGTCATGTGGGCCTGATTTAGAACCACACAGGGACAGTCTTCTTCACAAGCTGGTCACAAAGAGTTGTGTTTCCTTTTTTCTAGCAGGTGGTCCACCTTGAGGAGAAAACAACCTCAAAAGTTAGAAGGTGGCCAAGAGGCAAAGCTGCACCTCTGTGACTGTCTCCCTCTGGGGTCCCCTCTCTCTTGTGACTTATAGTTCAAGCCTGTCTGGCTTTTCAGTGAACCCTTTTGTCTCCCCTTGAAGTTCCCCACCCCTAGTAAGAAAGAACGTTGGACTTTGTTTCCCAGCAGCTGAGACAGCCGGCCTGGAGTGGAGCTTGGCGTGGCCCGTGCCGTGCTGCCCGGGGAGAAGGCTTGGGCCCTGGAGCCAGGCTCTCCTGGAATGTCTCTGCCAGGGGAAATTCTAAACTTCACTCAGCCACTTGCTGGTAATTTGTGGCTAGACTTGAGCGTGTCAACTGAACCAGAGCCAACGTCACTGTGGTTTCCTGGGTCACACCACTTTGCACTCACAGAAAGCCGAGTGCACTGTTCTGGCTCTTTCAGCACGTACTACATCTGGGCTTCATTGAGGATTTCACAGAGTTAGAAACACAGCTCCCCGCTCCTCTCTGAAAAGTGGCCCAAATCCAAAGACATAATGAGCACAAAGAGTTTGCTCACCCACGCATCCCCCTGGCCACCCCCAAGCAAACATGAGGACAAGATGAGAGCCCCCTACCCTCACTCTGAAGGAGAAGGGTTTGGCTTCAGAGTTCTCTCCTGCCCTTCCTTCTTTGCTCTCCTCCCTCTGGGCACCCCTTCCCATGGCGAAGTCCCACGGCTCCCTCTTTGGCCTCCAGTTTCCTCAACTGTAAAATGGAAATGGTGACATTTATTTCCCACGATAATGGATCAAATGAAATAATGGAAATGAAGTGCTTTATAAATTGGAAATTAATTTAAATCAGGGAAATCAGGGTCAGCAAACCAACGCCTGTTTTTGTGAGGTCCGCGAACTAAGAATGGTTTTGACATTTTTTAATGGTTGCAAAAAAGCCAAAGAATAAGATTCTATGACCCAAGAAAATTATATGAAAATAAAATAATAAATAAAGTTCTATTGGAACGCAGCCACACCCATTCACTACATACTGTCCATGGCTGCTCCGGTACAATGGCAGAATTGAGTAGCTGTGACAGAGAACTTTAGACTCACAAAGTCTAAAATATTTACTATCTTGCCCTCTACAGAAAAAGTTTGCCAGCCCCATTTGTAAAGGGGCTGCAAAAATAATAATTCTTATTATCTCTCTTACTCTTCTCCGTTAGAGCTTGCTCCCCGGATGAAGCCTACCATACCGGAAGGAGATGAATTGATCCACTTCACCAATCAATGATTATTGAAGGGAAGGTTAAATTTATGCCAGTTCCCAAGGACGTTTTCCTTTTAGGGGAAAGTTTGAGTCCTAAAAGGAGGGCCTCTCAGATAGTGAGATTTCAAATACTAGTTGGGGAAACATCTTGGAGTGAGGGCTGCCTCACTCCAAGACATATAACAGCTGCCTGTTATAATCTGCAAACACATATATCCATACACGGACTTCACAAGAAACACTCCTATGGTGGAAAATTCTAGCAGCGCCTCTTATTAACTTCGGGGTATCTCGACTTGATTAATATACACTAATTAAATTAAAAATGGCTTCTGGGGCTTCCCTGGTGGCGCAGTGGTTGGGAGTCCGCCTGCCGATGCGGGGGGCGCATGTTCGTGCCCCGGTCCGGGAAGATCCCACATGCCGCGGACCGGCTGGGCCCGTGGGCCGTGGCCGCTGGGCCTGCGCGTCCGGAGCCTGTGCTCCGCGGCGGGGGAGGCCGCGGCAGTGAGAGACCCGCGTACCGCGAAGAGAAAAAAAAAAATGGCTTCTGGCTAGCAATATTTCTGATCCTCAGGAATCTGCCGTTTGGAACTGCTCTTCTGGCTTTTACCTCGGCCACTCACTCTCTCCCCCTGCTCAGCTCTAGTCCCAACCCCTCTCCTGAGCTCCAGAGCCCATGGGGCATCTACACCCCATGCCCTGGCACCTCAACTCCACCTCTGAGACTGCTGTCCTCATCACCGTCCTTTGACTGGAATGGCCCCTCAGAGATCTGCACCACCCGCCCAGGATGGAACCCAAGCCCAACACCCCGACTGCTTCCTCCTCCCTCCCAACCAATCCCCAGGCCCTCTTATTTCTGCCTCCATGCAGCTCCAGCCACCAACTTGGGACCACTGCACTGCTGTAGCACTCTTGCCCTGTTCAGTCCACTCCCCTCACAGCTGCCCGAGCAGTCCCTTTAGAGGGCAGACCTCTTGCTATCATCCTTCTGTTGTGCCCCATTGCCCAATCCCTAGTAATCTGGCCCTGCCTGCCACTCTGACCTTAGCTTTCCCTGCTTCCTGCCTTGAAATCAATATTCAGTGGAGTTGAGCTCCTTAAAAAGTCCCAAAGACCATGCTCCCTCTGTCCTGGAACTACCCCTACTTCAGGACCCAGCTCAGGTACCCCTTCCTCCAGAAAGCCTTCCCTGATAACTTCTGGGCTGGGTGAGGGGCTCCTCCTGTGCTTTACCCCTTTCATATATTTATCTTCTCCATGGTTCTCATCTATCTCTCCCAGGGATTGCAGAAGCCCCCTACACTGTCCCTAAGGAGCAGAGACAGTGCCTGGTACATAACAAGTGCTCAATAAATGTTGTCAGAATGAACAAAGGGAAGGAAGAAAGAAATCTAGCTTCAAGGTCATGATATCATTCTGCCCATCTTGGTTTCCCAGGCATAACATGTAGAATCTCTGCTCATTAGAGTTTCTCTAGTGCCCATGCATCTCTGTCACAGGAATCTCTGTCTTGCTGCAGCCCAAGGGCTAACCTCAAGGTCTAAACCCATTCAAATAATAAAAGCAAGTGCTACAGCTTCCCTATGCAAAGTGTGGTCCCAGACCAGCAGCCTCAGCATCACCTGGAAGTTTATTAGGAATGGAAATTATCAGGCCCCACCCCAGTCTACTGAGTCAAAATCTGGGGTGGGAGGCAACAAAGCAATCTGTGTTTTAACAAGTTGTCCAGGTGATTTTTAAAGTTTGAGCCCTCAGGGCCAGGCCCTGACAGTGTTGACCTGAGCACTTTATACATATATTATCTCATTTAATCCCCACAACAGCACTGCCAGATAGGTATTATTACCATTACACCCATTTTACAGGTGAGGAAATTGAGGTCACTCAGTAACTTTGGTAGCTGGGGAGTCTGCCTCCAAGGCCTGCATCACTACCCCAGCCAGCCTCAGCTGTAAAGAGATGTTAGCAGACTCTGTTTGCAAAAGCGGACACAGCCCCTTGGTCTATTTTCCTCTTAATTATTTATGCTCTTGTGTCTGTGTGTGTGTCGTTGGGGGAAGATGATGGCCTTGGTGGGTGGTTTCACAGCCAGGTGTGGGTCTTTTGTACAAGTTGCTTAACTTCTCTAAGGCCTCAGTGTCCTCGTCAGAGAACGAATTAGATGGTTCCACTTCCTTCCAGCCCTAAAACCTCATGATGCCCCAGGACACTTACTCCACTCCACTCCACCTTTTGCATCCTCCAATGACCCTGGAGCCTTCAAGGGTGAGAAAACTCTTAGCCAAGTATGAATCAGAGAGACCCGTGGGGGTCTGAAGAAAATACTCACCCATCCCCAGTAGACACAGACACAGGGGCCATAATTGGTTTGGATTTAAATGCCCCGAGAAGAAGTCATTTCTCTGAAAAGCGTCTGTTCCCCTAAAACAGCCTCCCAGACATTCTGAGCCACGACAAAGCACACCTCGTGGGTGTAGATCTGCGCTGGCTCTGATGAGCAGTGAGAGCAGAGACCGCAGGTGACACATCCCACCCACCACCCAGTTAGGAGGGCAGGGAGTCCCGTTCCAGGCTCTTCCTGCCCCAGGATGCCCCATGGCCAGAAATACCTTTTCCTGGCAGGCAGCAGTGTGCTTGTAGGCAGAGTTGCACACCGAGGGTCTTGACGTGTGACCTGGGCCAGCGTCACAGAAGCCAGGCCAATCTGGAGGCGCCTCTTGCACCCAGGGGTCCGGCAGCCCCAGAAAGACAGAGACGGCAGAAGCTGTACAGTACTCACCGAGTGTATGAGAGGTCCTTCTCCCAGTGACTGAGGGCTGGTGTGTCTTTGGCATAAATACCAGAGCAATATAAAACCCCAGAGGCGGATCTTCTTTAAGCAGAGTCCCTAAAAAGGCCAGCTGACGGTGTGTTAGCAGTATTACCATATAAGGTGCTTTTTTCAATAAATCGGCCTTGTGGGGGGGTGGGAAGGGGGCTGGGTAGAGTGAATTATCATTTGAAAAATGTATGCAAAAGGACTCGAGAGGCAGCAGCCTCGGTGCTGGCAGATTTGTTCCTTTTACGCTGCACTTGCATAAACAAAACTCACACCAGGCCTTATAAGCTGCCCAGAGTGAGGCCAGATGGAGCTCTGTTCCTGGAGAGAGAACCATACCAAGAATGGCAGTGGGCCTCCTCCCTCCACACCTCCCTACTCAGGCCCTGATGCCCGCCACCCCTTGGCAGTGTCCCCAAAATGGATACAATTGTGCCTGGTCTGGTGCAAGCCCAGGACAGCTAAAAGCCAAAGGGAAAATCCATCCATACCTGGGAAAGCAATCCTGTGTGTCCTCCTCACCTGGTGCCCCCCCCCCCCACACCGCAAGCTCCTAACCCCTGGGCTGAGTCACCTGGGGACCCAGGACAGCGGAAGCCTCCTCTGGAACCTCACTGTCTCCTTCCTTTCTCCTTTCCTTCCTGGATTCCCTCTGCCAGTCCCTGAACATTGGGAATACAGCCCAAGGTAGCTGCTTCAGTGTGGAGGCACACCTAATAAGACTCACAAGCTTGTAGGCTTGTCCACGTCCTAAGGTTCCTGCTCTTCTCATGTCCTCTTCCTGAGTAGCTGCTTCATTTCCCAAGCTAGCCGCTGCCAGCTCTATGGCAATTACTCTCACCTCCACATTCCCACAGTCCCAATGCCTCATGCCTGATCCAGACTAAAATTACGGATTGCTTATTGGACATCCCCACCCAGATGACCCTCCAAAACAGAATCCTCGTCCCCTACCCTTGATGCTGCTGTGCCTCCTGGGTTCCCTACTTCAGAGTCCTTCCCCTCGGTCCTTCAAGCTAGAAACCTGAGTTGTCTAGACCCCTCGCTCTCCCTCATGCCCACACCCACCTGGACACCTTTCTGGTGCCCCTCCCCTCAGAAATGCTCTGCATCCTCCCTGCTATCCCTGCTGGCCCTGCTCTGCTTCTGGCTCTGGTCCTGTCCAGCACAGCTTCCTGACTGGTCTTCCTGACTCCACCCCATCTTCAAACCCAGCAGTTCCCAAAGTATGGTCCCCAGGCCAACTGGAAGGCAGCGACAGCATGATCTGGAACGTGTTAGAAATGCAGATCCTCAGGTTTCACCCAGATGGGCTGAATCAGAAACCCTGGGGGTAGGACTCAGCCATCTGTGTTTCACAAACCTCTCCCCTCCCACCCAGGTGTCCAGGATACCTACCCTTCACCAGAAGAATCATGCATTGAATCCCTGCTTACGCTGTCCTGGGCCCCCAGGTGACTCAGGCCAGGGGTTAGAAGCTTGTGTGAGGGGAAACAGGTGAGGAGGGCACATGGGATTGCTTTCCCAGGTATGGATGGCATTTCCCTTTGGCTTTTAGCTGTCCTGGGCTTGCACCAGACCAGGCTCAATTGCACCCACTTTGGAGACACTGCATGGAGTTCTCAGTGGGCTTGGGTGTCATGACACAATGGCTAGGTGTAGGTCTGTCTTGCCCATTAACTAAGGACTGAGGCAGGCAAAGGTATGGGTAAGGAGCGGCCACTGCTTAGAGAACCCAGAGGAAAGAAGTAGGGAAGGCTTTTCATGGAGGCTTGTGATTGCCCCTGTAGAGAAGGGACACTGTAGCCATCATGAGGTATACTTACTAATCTTTTGACCATTGGCCTCAGTGCTTAGTACCAAGTCTAAATTCCAGGCCCCCTGGGAAGCTTCCCTGAGTCTTTCTGGTCCCTAAAAAAGCCCTCGCTGTGGATGGTGGGGGGCATGCAGGGCAACAGATGAGGTGGGAAATGTCCAGCAGGGACACAGTGCTGTCAGTCCTGACTGGGCGGGGCTGCTAAGAGCCAGTGCCCAGGTCGTGTGCTACCCGCTAGTCTCCCTCCTTGGGAGACTCCATTCTCTTCTAATCATTCTGCACTGTGGCCAGGGTGAATGTTCACACCTTGGTTGGCACAATCAGCTTATAAACAATAAAGAGCCTATAATCAAAGGGAACTGGTTGTGGTTCAGGGTCCAAACAGTCCAGAGATCACAGAGGAAGGCTATCTGAATAAACTGAAGCCCTTAGGAAATGCTTAGGGAGGTGGAGTCTGCCTTGACTTTGATAGAGAGAAAAGAGGTGGAGGAGGCCAGAGGTTAAACCAGGTGCCAGAGGTACTCAGTTTTTTATAGTATGAGGAATCCCACCCTTAAACAGTTATTTCTTTATTTTTTTTTCTGGTTTCAAAAATAATGCAAAAAATTCAAAGAATACAAAATTGTGTATCGTTTCCAACAATTTCATACAGACCTGAGTCAGAGATGGCTCAGATATGCTTTCAGTATGATGTGTATTCTTTCAGATTTTTTCCTAGATTTTTTGAACTAATTTTTATATTATTTTATAAAAACAGGATTATGTTATAACATATGTTTTTACAACTGTTCTGAAACTTCCCATGTTCTCTTAATAATACTCTTGGATGGCTGTCCAAATCAGTTCATATAATTTTTTAAACCCTAACATAGTTTCCCATAGTAGGGATATACCATAATATATATTTTTTAACATAAAATTTTTAACCAATATTCTATTGATGGGCTCTTGAGTCATTTCCAATTTTTCACTTATGCAAACATTGCTGCAGTTAATAAAACTCTATATATTGTGCCTTTCTGTGTGTGTGTGAGTATATCTACATGGTAACTTTCCTAAAGTGGAATTGTCTGATCAAGCACGAACATTTGAAATATTGATGGAAATGGCCAAATTGTCCTCCAGAAAGGTTGTACTAGTTTACACTCTTGCCAATAGTGTATGAGAACACTTCCTTCTTCATACTCTTTCAGACCCTGAGTGTCAATGGTTTTTTTTGGTCCATTACATTTGTTTATTACCTTTGGAAACATGCTAATTTTCATGTGACTCACCACATAAGAATTGGTTTAGTTTTTTCCTCCCGATTATAAAAGGAATTCATTCAATGGTTTTGTTTTTTTTTAAAGGAAAATGTGGAAACAGGTGTTTGCATCTTAAGATGTTTGTTTCGGTGGACAGTTGGTCAACTGAGCATCTTTGCTTCTCTGGCTCTCTTTGTGCCCAAAAGAACCATGTGGCAATTAGCCATCTTTTAAACATTTCCTAATCCCAAAGGAGAAACTTAGCACCTTCTTGTTTTAAAATTAAAATTCTAAACTATTTGGTAACTCATGAGAATGAACATGTTTGGCAGTTATTAAACTTTTTTGGGGTGGGGTCCTTCTCTGAGAATGGCTGGCTCATGTCTTTATCTATTTTTCTATCGGATGGTTTGCCTTTATCTTCTTGAGTTTTAAGAGTTCTTGGTATATTTCATTAGTGATACCATTAACCTTTTGTTTATCACAAGGGTTGCAATTATTTTCCTGCCAGTTTAACATTTATTTGCCTTTTGGTTTTGTCTGGTAGCATTTGCCTTATTGGAGTTTAATCAAATGTTTTCCCTTTTTGGTGTCTGTGTTTCATAACATCCTTAGTTCTTTTATTTTCTATTTTATTTTTAATTGTGGTAAAATACACATAACATAAAATTTACCATCTTAACAATTTTAAGTGTTCATTTCAGTATTAATAAGTATATTCACTTTGTTGCGCAATCTTCAGAACGATTTCATCTTGCAAAACTGAAACTCTGTACCCATTAAACTACAACGCCCTTTTCCTCTTTACAGCCACCATTCTGCTTTCTGTCTGGATTTGACAATCCTGGGTACCTCACATAAGTGGAATCATACAGTATATGTCTTTTTGTGACTGGCTTATTTCACTTAGCATAACGTCCTCAAGGTTCATCCATGGTGTAGCACATGTCAGAATGTCCTTTCTTTTAAAGGCTGAGTAATATTCCATTGTATGTATGTACCACATTTTGTATATCCAGTCATCCGTTGAAAGACAGTTGGGTTTTTTCCACTTCTTGGCTACTGTGAATAATACTGCCATAAACATGCATGTACGAACACCTCTTCAAGACCCTGCTTTCAATTCTTTTGGGTATATACTCAGAAGTGAAATTGCTGGACCACATGGTAATTCCATTTTTAACTTTTTCAGGAACTGCCACACTGTTTGCCACAGCGGCTGCACCATTTTATTATATTCCCACCAACTGCTCACAAGTGTTCCAATTTCTCCACTTCCTTCACCAACACTTTTTGATAGTTGCCGTCCTAATGGATGTGAAGTGGCATATCATTGTGTGTGTTTTTTTTAAACTAAACAGACTTTATTTTTTTTTTAATTTTTATTTTCCGGTACACGGGCCTCTCACTGCTGTGGCCTCTCCCGTTGCGGAGCACAGGCTCCGGACGTGCAGGCTCAGCGGCCATGGCTCACGGGCTCAGCCGCTCCGCAGCATGTGGGATCTTCCCGGACCGGGGCACGAACCCGTGTCCCCTGCATCAGCAGGCGGACTCTCAACCACTGCGCCACCAGGGAAGCCCCAGACTTTATTTTTTAGAGTAGTTTAGGTTTACAGAAAAATTGAGCAGAATGTACAGAGGGTTCCGTATATCCCCTACAACTACTCATGCATAGCTTTCCCCGCTAGCACACTCCCAACTAGAGTGGCACACGTGTTAAAACTGATGAACCTATTGATACAATGACATATCATTAACTCCCAAGTTTACATTAGAGTCCACTTTTGGTGTTGTACGTTCTCTAAGTTTAGAAAATATATAATGTCGTGTATCCATCATTATAGTATCATACAGGACAGAATCACTGTCCTAAAAATCCTCTGTGCTCCACTTATTCATCCCTCCCCACTCTCCAAACCCTGGCAATCACTGATCTTTTTATTGC